AAGGAAAGAAGGTTTGTACTTAAACTGTACTGCATGTTCTAGAGCTAGCTGCAACTCCTGGAATTACTGTAGACTTAGGCTGCTGATCTACTGTTAACCTGATTCTTGCTTTTATCCATCTGCAAAATGAGCATAAAGGTTGCCTGATGCACAGAAGTAAAATGAAAAACCACGTTTGTAAAGTTCTTTCAGTGTTTTATACCTGTGGATGAGTTGAAATGAAAAATAAAATCTAGCTTCTGATGAATCTTCACACAATTCTAGAAGAATTAAGAGCTACTACAGAATTAATGCAAGCTGGCTGCAGCCTGAGTACAGACTTACTGAACTATTGGACACATCTGTAAGAACAATTACTAATTCTAGCCAACCATCACCTGACTAAACTGTTTGCTTTTTCACATTCTTACTCAGGTTGATTGTCTACCTTTCCTTTTTAATAAAAGAAGTTGGAAGAGAGCTTCATTTGGAAATGTGGCTTTTTAACTGCTCTACAACTTAAATCCTGTAGTGCAAATCTTCTGCCTTAGGTAAATTATTAAATATGCTCTGTTATCTTGCCTAGGCATGTATAAAGACCCCATGTATCTGGAGTCATGACTTTTCTCCTCCAGTGCCACAGAAAACAGTCTTGCCTCTCTTCTCCCTTCCCAGCCAAACATGTCCGTATTCGACTGTGCACGTGTCTCCATGCACACTTGCAAGTATGCATATACATGATGGTTAATAGTTGGCATTTTGGCTGCTAGTAAAGGGGTAACAGAGATAAGACAAGTTAGTAGTCTCAGTCCCTAACAGGCAGACATGGCTGCATAGAGGCAAGCCAACTCATTCCATCATGTCAATCACTTCAGAGAAGTTTTGAATCTAGAAATTTAGGGGCTTTAGCAGGATTTTCAGTGTGGATACTCAGAGTGGTTATCACTGATTATCACTGTACTTCCATCTAAATGATATTTATCCTCCAGGTGCCAGGTAAAACACCCACATTGGACTAGTAACTTACTAGGCCAGTGGGATGTCATCCAGACTACCACTTGCAGCCTCTAATGGCAGAATTATCAAACTTGCAAGGCAATTTATAAGTGCGTTGGTGGGGAGGTGATGGTCTTATTGATTTAGTAATGGAGGGATTGTGATTGAGAAGCTGTAGGACATCAGAGTGCCTGATAAGAAGCAGATGGATGTTTGGCCAGGAATTACTCCAGCCCTTCTTTAGGAGGCAGAGAACTGGCCAAATGATCAGGCACCAGTCAAGCTTTGGCACAGCCTCCCATTATTAAATAGAAAAAGCAGCAAGTTGCAGAACCAAGAAGTATAAGGAAATCCCTTTCTACCTGTGCCAGTGATTTATTTTCCTAGGGGTGATAATTACTGTGACATTTAATAATCTTCTGAACCACTTTCAAGGATCAGAAGGCAAGTATCTTCTCTACAGTGATCTACGTCAGCAAAAATTGATTTGTAATACACAATAGCAAGTCAGTAGCAAAGCTAATAGAAATCCCAAGTTCCAGTTCTCCTTTTTAAACCCTAGCTATATTTCCCTTCTGCCTCCTCTTTGATTTTTTTTAAACATCATGCTCAACTAAGGAAGAGCTTTTAACTTCAGTCATGCAGTTACCATGCCACTGGTAACTGGAACGACAGATTCCACCGTTTTGCAATTCACTAATACATTGTTCCAAGAAACAAATTATTCCTCAAATGCTAGAACTAAAAACGTCCTTTTTGGTTTTTTTTATGGTGAGCTCAGAATGACAGTTTTGCATCATTTGAGAGACTCATAAGGTATTTTTCCTCTGGGGATTTGCTTTTGTCTCCATGGTCTTTTAGGGTGGGGAAGTTAAAAAACAAGTTACACAGGAAGACAAATATGAAGACTTAATCTAGAGTCAGTCTCTAAAGGATTCTGACCTGCAACCAAAGAAAATGAAGAAGCAGGCTTTTAGCGGATTTGTGCGGATTGCTGTCAAAAGTAAGTATATGCTTACATAGTTGGGGATCAGTGTGCAATGTGTTAAATATTACAGTTCCTTTGGTTTTTTGCACCATCCCACATGGTTACAGTTAACAAGGGGGAAGTGCTCAGGAAGTATACTGGAAAGGGCAGAGAAAGGACATGGCTGGAGCTTACTCGGTCAACAAAAATTTAAAATGACAGATATCCAGTACGTGATGAGGCTTAAACACAGGATGCTTGGACTCATCCAGCTTGGGAATTTGAAGACAACTGACAAACCAGGTATGTTCTCATCTGACAAATCCAAGAGGAAGCAGTTGTTGTAAGGGAATGGGTTAGAGACATCTCAAAACCAGGAACAAAATGTATAGTGATGCTGCCCACTGATAGGGCTGAAAAGACTGGCCTGTATTAGGGCTCGGAATTGCTGGGTCTATGCCAGGTTCTCCTACTTGCTTTTTCTAAATGTACCTTAAGCATAGTGGTATTGTCTCTCTGTAAAGTTCATTGCAATACTCCACACAAAGTAGTCAGTCACCATTTTTAACTTCTGTATATCAGAGGTTCTTAAATTCAGATTGTTTACACACACACAGGTGGCAGCAGCAATCTTTAGCTTCCTTAATTGACATGTGTTCTTTTGCAAATTTAGCTGTGACTCAGACTTGCCATTACACTTTAACGACTCACATTCAGTAAGAGTTGAAGTGAAAAAACTGTACAATTTGTGTGTGTGTGTTTGTTCCTGTGGTAAGAGAGGATGGTAAAGGGTCCTCTATTGCTCCAGGACGTTATAAATTTTTGGAACATATAGTAAGCACTTTAACTAGGTTTATAACACACTAATGTTAAGATAACAGTGTCCAAAAGCTGTTAAGACACACTGCCTGTGTCTGAGATGTGGATTGTTAAAGGAAATGGTATATCATTAGTATTCTGACTCAAATATATGAAAGAAACTCCAATAACGTAAGTATTTTATAGAGGATAAATAAAAAATAATAGAAGATTCCTCTTTTTAGAAAAACATAAATCTTAGAATCTGATCTCTTTCACTAATTTAAAACAATGCCAAGTTTTATGATGGAGTCACCCCCCAAGGAGTCACACTTCCATCTGTCTCATGACCTGAACCAGACTCCCATCAATTTTCTAGTACCCACTTCATTGTTAAACGTTTCCATAGCAATAGTACTCAAAAGCAGAAGGGTTAAGGTCCCGCCACACTCAGTGCAGTACAAACTCACACGTACACAGAATTTGTGGTCCAAAAGGCTCATAGTTCAGGGTGACAGGATATGCCACGCGCAAGGGTTGACTTGACGAATGCACAAAAAGAGCGTTGGCAGCACTGCAGGCGACCCACAATCTCCAGTGACTATTGTCATAGACACAGCGATTTAATGGATCTGTGTAGCAGGGAGGCCTCTGGAATATACCCAGAAGAGGAGGGCATTAATGTTCAAACCCATTCAGATCCATATGAGTGGAGTCTAAGCTATTTTGAGCTATTTCCCAAATAATATGGTAGTGAGGGTGAGCCATAGAACATGAGATGTAACAATAACACCTTTGGAAAATTTTCACTTCTGGAATCTGTTCTCCACCTTTGTGGTCTGACAAACAAGGAATCTGTCAGAGCATACTGCAAAACTGTATCTGTACACCTGATAACATGACTGAGAGGAGAGCTCTGGTGGTTTTAGTGGCCAGAGTCCACCTTGCAAGCTGTTAATATATTTTATACATGTACCTAGAGTAATAAATAGCACATTATAAATAAACCAAACTAAATATACTCTCTATCAAATCTATTTGTTACCTGTCCAAAGAAGATAATGAAGAGAGTTGGACTTGATTAAATTTATGGGTCCCTTCCAACTGAAAACTTTCTATGATTCTTAAATAATTTTTACTGGAGTAAGGAGGATGTTTATATTAAAATCTAAAGTTTTTTTTTTTTTTTTTTTTACACCTTCCCCATACACTGGGAGATTTATCAAGATGTACTTAAGATGAGGAGATAGACTCACTGGCATCACACCCACTCCTGTGGTCCAGACAGTGTTATGAGGGCCACTGAGGCAGGTAAGACAGTCTAGCTCTCAGAATTTCCCCATTTTGAACACTGAAAGACAGGCCAGCATGAGGAAAGTGATCATGTCTCCATGATCTGCATGACATTACAGATATCCTTAGCTGTTCCCTTAATGTTGTTTTTCCATTTGCCTGCTTCTCCCCTACGATCAACACCTAGAGGGGCCAAGCCAGGGATCAGAAGAAATGGAGGGGAGGTAGCCAGTTGGCCACCTTCCTATCCAGTCCTCCTCGGGCAGTAACAGGCACCAGTTGTGTTTTTTGCCAAAGTCAAGAAGGGGTAGACAAAGATAACGGAAGACTGAGCTTAGTCATTAGAAGAGTGGAACAGACATGCCTGAAATTTCCAGATGGGAAGCAGTGGTCAGACAAAAGTGGAGTTGTCAAAGAGGGAAACAAAGTCACTAAGGCCAGTGGATGTCAGGAGAGAAGCAGCACGGACAAGACATGAGGCAGAATCATGAGAAAAACACGGCATTTATTGCTATAGCTGTTGGGTGGCTGTCAAAAAAAACAGCACAAACCAAACAGAGCATGCTGGGACTGGCTCTACGCTTCCCCTTAGGAATTCATGGCACACTGCTACTGCTGGTGGTGGCTACTTTCATTTTATGTAATTTCCCATGGTCCATATTTTGTAATGTCAACCCACATGCCACACAGTCATTTTTGAGTAAGATTTATATTGAGATCTGAGAAAACCTAAGAGATGCTAACACGTTCCGAGCTGAAACAAAGAAAAACTCCTTGAAGACTCACTTAACCAAGCTCCACACTGCTAGCGTTGCAATGTTGCTCACATGGCAACCTGGGGATCCCGCTTCACCAAACAAATAATTCACCGTAACATATACTCCTTAAAGAATTGCTTTACGTTCTCCCATTCTGCACACCTGCTTGTTGCAGGTTATCATCAGGGACTTGACACCACAACACTTACCGTCTGTTATTCCCTCCCTACGATGAGGCAAGGGGGGTTGGTCCAACCGTCCTCCCTTGTGTTTTTTAGTGGGCCTCGGCCTCTGACTCTGATTGACAGCTGCACTGGTGTTGCTGTCAGTAGAAAAAGGACTGCTCGGCCGAGGTCTCTGAGAGGAAGGGTATGCTTTGCCTAAAAAAGAGAGAAACCAGATGACAAAATGTTATTGCCTTGAAATGGGCTGTTCTATTAATGTCTCTTCTGAAACATTAAATCTGGTCTAATTCTCAGAGGGAAGCAAATGTCCCCTCCAGGTACCCGCTGATGACAACTGCTTTAAGACACACCACAACAAGTGAAGTGAGATACTTGGCATTCTTTTGTCTTTAACTTTTATAATTAAAAGCATTCCATCTGTTGTGATAGAACTACTGTATGGCATGTAACTCCTACCTGCTCTGTGTGCTGAACAGATGTGTCATAACAACTCCTCAGCCTTAAGGAGGGAAGGAAAACAGTTCTGCAATCAGATAAAATTTATCTCTCCTGCCTTCCACCTTCACATTTGCCAAGCCAGATTCTCATTTTAGGGGCTCCCATATGCACTGTATATCTGGAGTAACTCCAGCGAGATAAACATAACTGATTTTGCAAGCTATGTAGCAGTTAAGGGCTCTTTTTCCTCAAGAAATAAAAATGGGGGTATATTTAAATGCTAAAATTTTCCTGTTCAGTTTCAGTGTTTTTATATGTTAAAAAAATAATGTATTCTGACTGAATTTAATCCTCATATCATTTTTTATATATGTAGACTAATCAAGCTACATGATTTCTCTTAAATAAAAAAAATCTTTGAGGCTGTTCTATGAAGCAGATCATTAAAAGCATCACGGCAGGAACCGTAGGAGCACAGTTCATTTACTACCTTCACTTCCTCTTATTTTGACATTTTTATTCAGCTAACTTAACTAAGCTTATTGTTTAACAATAACTAATGAAAACTAAAGAACATCATCTTTTACTTTCTTTTTTTCATTTTGCCAAGTGTCTTGGGGATGTTAATATTTTAATTCGTTTAGAACTGGTACTTAAAATTCTTACTTCTTTAATCCTATCTGCAGCGGAAAACATGTAAGCCAGTCCGAACTTCTGCTCTCGCAGTGCTACTGCAGACCCAAATGGTGTAAGAGTTGACGGAAAGTGGAAAAATGGCTGTTTGTTATTTTTCTGGTCAACTGACCCCAAGCTACTAAGGATGTTTTTTATCTTCTGGTTAACTTAGACCAGGGTCTACTCTGCTGTGAGTTATGTTTGCTGGTAAAACCTTTCAACAGATGTGCTTACCTCCAACATGCGGTCACATGCGACCCGACCTAGATAAGCCTAATCAGGAGTAATACGCTACGTGCTACACTATTTGAAATAGTCTCAGTGCAAAGAGGGCAAAGTGAAAAAAGTAGCCATAATCTCTCTCACACCGTGTTTCACATCACTACATACATGTTAGGGTAACATCTCAGTATTTTACTTCAGAGATTTCCTGACTGTCTCAGGCTTGATCTTTTACTTCTGACCGATGTGCACCCTGAGGAGGACACGGCTCTTAGGCAGGCTTGTCTCCCAGCTGTGTGTCACTGCTCGCTATTGAAGGCTGCTACATTTGAACCCCTTATGTGGACATTTCCTGACTCTCCTCTACCAAAATAAGCCCCACTGAACTTAAACAGTATGAAAAATACGCCTTTGCTAACCTGGCTCATGTTAACCCAAATGGGTTACAGAACGCCCACCCAAGCAGCTAATTCTGGAGCTGGGAGAAAGCAGTAATAAGCATTTGGGGGAAGGCTGGAAACATGAACCTCTATAGCTGGCACAGCTGCAGCCAGACAAAGAAGTGATGAAGCCCTTGTTTCATAGATAAGGATAAAACGGCAGATGAACATAAAATATTAAAATTTCATTTAAAAATAAAAGAAAGACAACTAATGCAAAGAAATTCTAATATAAGCCTGAAATTCCATCCTAGCTCACAGCACATTGCACAGATGTTTTGCAAAAATAAACTGGCAACATGCAAGTGCAACTAGTGAGTGCAGGATGAAGATTCTTCACACTTATTCTCTTGACTAAAGAAATGTGATTATTCATTCAGAATGTTGGTTTGAAAAAGAAATAGACACCAAACATTCTCCCTTTTATACCTCCACGAAAATGAGGGAAAATAAATAGCACTGACCTAAATCAGACGTGGGGCAAACACAAATGATGTGCGGGCTCCCAAAACACATTTTTCAGTGCACCTAAGAACTGATGACAGCATCTCGTATTTGTATGCAGCCCTTCCAGTAAGAGCTGCTGAGCAGTGTCAGAGCCTCTGTGGTAGATTTAGAGCGTGTAAGTGGAGACAAGGATGGAGCCACTAACTCTTGATTTAGTTTTCCAAGGGTGTTAAAAAGGAAAACTGTCTGAACTTGATGGCATATCACAAGTTGGCTTCTGGAAACTGGGATCTAAGTGTCTGGCGGGAGACACACCTTGTGCCTGGATGCACCAGTGCCTGTTGTGCTCGGCAGTCAAACGCACCCACGGGAGGAGGCTATCAAGCTGGACTTCCCCTTTCATATCAGTGAGAATGTTCCACAGCAGTTCTGATGGGGTGACAATAACTGTCCAGACTGCAAAGGCGTAAAGAGTCAGGACCTTCAGACTCCCCCCAGAGTCATGAACAGAAATAATACTGCTGCTTCTCCACTACAGGACACCATTTTGCACGACGTGGGGTTTGCTGTGGTACAGCGGGTCCATAATACGCATGTCTGATATCGATCCACGCTACCTGGGAGGTATCGTACCGTAATGAAACTGCAGTGAGCACTGGGGAGTTATTTCCATTTGCTGAGGTTTCTGTGAGGAAAAGAGGGGAGGGCTGTTTGTTTACATGTGGGTTTTCTTTTGTTTCCGTTTTGCCTGCTAGATCATTAAGAGAGTGAGAAGGTTATGATCATAAAGTCTCTACTACAAATGTTGGATACTTTGTCGTACCCTAAATTCTAATAGTTTATCCGAGGAATCAGATGCAAGTACTCAGTTTAAGTGCATTTGTGACCTGATTAAGCTAGGAAAATATACCTGACAAGAGGGGTCTCATCCTTTCCTTGTACTTTCCATTTACATAGCTACAATCCCTAATTATATTTATTTAAAAGTGTCTGTGTGTTTGTGTGTCCATGTACTTTTGCTATGTGTGTGTTTGCGGTGGAAACTGTACTTCTCAACAGCCTGATACAAGCGACATTAACTTTGGGTGAATCTTTGCACTAGCTTTTTCTGAGGCCAAGAACAACACACAAAAAAAAAGGTTGGGAAGGATTTGCTCCTTTCATTCAAGACTGTTTAGGAGACTCTTCAATCAAAACAGTATATTTAAAATTATAGTTTGGCCAAATGTGCCCATAGTAGATGAGTGAAGGTCTACATGAGTTTTTGTTTTGCTTTGTGTTTGTCAAATTATGAGACAGATCGACTTCATCAATTTTCCACTAGTGTAAGAAGGAAGTGAGGGGTTTAACTACTTTTAACAGTGAAATAACTATCTTTTAAGGATAATTGTGTCTGACCAAAGTCAATGGCAAAAGTCCTAGTGATCTGATACAAGCTGTATCTGTTCACTCTGTAGTGTGTTGGTGACATAGGACTTTGCCATCGATTCTTTTCTTCATTCCTAACGTCCCTAAAAGGCAGTGATTGCCATGAAGTAATTGCATGCAGAAAGCCTGCGGTTTTCAACCCTAACATGTGGAGATGTTTCTCATAAATGCACACATTTTACTGAAGGGTAGACTTCATACCAGACTAATAGTAAAAAATTTTAAATGACAGGAACATTATGGTGGGCAGGAATCGGCTGAGAAAGCGTAACAAAAATAAGACCCAAGTTCATACTTTGCTATTAGATTTGTGGATTTAAATAATTAGTTATTTTTGCTATTTTGAAAACACTAAACAAATGCAAATACATTCTTTTTTTCCAGAATATTTAAAATATTTTTTTCTTATCTTTTTTTGCTAGAAATAAAACATATGGAGCTTTAAAAATATGAGCTAAGTTATGTTTACTTTTCATCAACTTATTTTAGAAGATTGGCTGTTTTCAAAAGCAGTAATCACTTTACCTTTGTTACATTTAACTTGGCAGATTCAGTTGGCATAATTAAAATTAAATTTTATCAAAATATATTAACCTATTGAATTAAGTATTTTTTAAATCAGCTGTTAATAAGGCTTTTACACAGTTTGTATCGTTAACAATAAAAGAACACCAATTCACCCCATGCTTAGAAAAACTTCACAGAAAAATACACTTTTGCAAGAAGAGATGCAACAGAAGAGCAGGGATGGAGATACTAGTTTAAACATGATGCTCATCGTTGGAAATGTGAAAGATTGTGAGAAGATTTTGAAAAAAATTAAATCATCAAAGACTGCATGGCAGAATTAGTGATCTCTTCACCGAAATATTAAATGGAGCATATGTCAGTAAATCTATAGCAGAGTCAGCACAAAGGAAAACTGCAGCAGACTGAAGGTGCAGATTAAAAGCTTGTGCTATTCACTACTTAAAATCACTAAAAATGAAACGTAATGCAAGGTGTCATTTAAAACATACTGATAAAAAATATCTCCATCCACCTTATTCCATGCATGTTAGACAAGTGTGAGACGCAGGTTCACTGAAAAGAAGAGAAGAATAGGCAGAGACACCCTTCATGCAGAAAGCATCAACTTTGAGTCTACAAACCTGTTCTTGTCAGGCTGGTTCCATCCAGCCTAAAACCAGCTTTATCTGCTGCTGCAACCAGTGCTTGTGCAAAACTGCCGCTGGTAAAGATCGAGTCATCTGAGGAGCTACCTACACTAGATCTATGACTAGAAAAGTTACGGTCCTCATCAGACGCAGAACCCCATCCATTTACCATTGAACCTAAAAACAAATGTAGGGGTCTAGTGAGTTGTGCACATTTGATATTTTTTGATCATCTAAAGCTTAAAGACCCACTTAATACGTCCTTTCTCAACAGAAACCCCAAAATTCATTTGACAGAACTTGTTACAAAAGAGCAGTATAAGATCCACTTAATACATTCTTTCACAACAGGAAACCCAAAGTTTATCTGACAGAGCACCGTATAAAAAAGCACCATCAAAGATAAGTGGGATCTAACTCATAACCTGCTCAGTGCTGCTTTGATCCTGTAAACAAAATGATACATATTCTCTACAAATGTGAATGCTCCATAATAAATTCTTTTGAAAGTTAATAGATTTTACCTGTGATTGAAATGAACGTGTTTAGTTTTTTACTTATTATAAATCAGTATCTAGTTTGATATTTGCAAAACAAAGTCTTAATTTAAGACAGCACAAGTGTAAGTCTCAGTCAGTATGGCTGAACTCAGACATGGGCTTCAAGAGCTATCCTGAACAAGACTGGCATTATGGCATTTTCTCAATCGAAACTTTGAAATATATAAGCAATCTTAATGGCCTGAAGAAAGCTGACCTAAAGTAGTTCATTCTAGTGGATTAAAGTTACTTTTTTAAAAGGTTGAAAATAATTAACATTCAAGAGCACAGCAAACATATACTCAAATTTAATACTGAGTCAGTCACTAAGCTAATGCTGGCCTCATGGTACCTTCTAGCTATAGACTACCACCGCTGCAAGAGAGGGAAATGATAACAACATTACAAAAATGCAGTCAGAAACCCAGATACTAGAAAAAGCTCAAGAAAGAAATAGAGAAATCTTGACATAACTAAAAAGCATGTAAAAAGCAAAATAGTGAAGGAAGGATTCATCTTATTTACTCTTCATTTGTATTTTCTTTTATTTTTTCCAATGCATGAAGCATCGATCAGCTACCTGACGTGGCAGTACAATATATTTTCAAAGGCTATTGCTCAGTTCAGATTTTTTTTGAAGTACTGAAATTCTGTTTCTTTTGTGGCTTCAGATGGAGCTGATGATGTTCTGTACTTCTAAAAATCATGGGTAAGTGTCACTGGGTAATCCTGTACTGTGCAGTGGAGCAGGAGGCAAAGGAGGCTTAGCTAGCACCAAGCTTTGCTCCAGGAACAGGGAAGCCATGCTAATTAGTTACCAAGTCCCGCTGAGATACAGAGCTACCAGACTGCTCTTGGGACCTGAGCTGCTGCATGGCATTGCATGGTGCTGTGTAGACACAGCATATTGTTCTGAGATAGCACAGGCATCTATCTTGAAAAACCCCAAATCTGCTTTTTAAAAAAAGTGGCATGCCTATGTTGAAATAAAAGCCCAGTGAACCCATGAGAATCTGCAGAGAACTGGTTTTCAAAGATATGAAGGCACATGTGGAGAGATAAATCATGGTCCTGAGTTTCCTGACTTCCCTATTCAGTTAGCACAGGTGAATTGCTGTACATGTACATAAGATATGTGGCAGTGTAGTCATGTTCTTTAAAGACTTTTTTTAATCGCTGTCAAAGAAGGTATTGTGTTAACTAGTAAATCAATAATGACCTGCTTATTAGTACCAAATTGATAGGCTAATTAACTAACAGTGGTGTCAAATATCAAAAATAACCTGCCAAAATAAGTCATGAGTACAACAAATGGATACGGGGATTTAGTCAGTAGCACGTTGCACCACAAAGCCTAAGAACAATGGATTATTTTGTGATGCCGCAGTGACCAAACCTTTTAATGTTAGCAAAGTGGCAGGCTATAATAACAAAAGTCCATGAACTCCTAAGGTACAAGAAGAGAAACTGAAGAGGTCTATGGAGGTCTGACAGGCAGAAAGTGTGTTAAGTGCAACAGAGAGTGACAGAGTTTGATTCTGCTTGCCAAGAGCACATATAAAATTGTTATTTTCCAAACAGACTCGACCTGATGCAGACAGATGTAAAGAAGCCTAGATAACAGCAAGGGAAGGCTAAAGCTGAATTTCCTCTGAGAAGACAGTTTCTGAACAATCAAAGTGCGATAGGACATCATAGAAAATGAAGAGCAAAAAGGCTTAGCAACAGTTATTGATGATGCATGAAAAGAGATACTAGAGATAAAACACTTCATGAAGATGTAAGAAAATGAAAGGCTATAGCTGAGGACATTTTCAAACAATTGCTTATTGACATATTCTGCAAAACATGTAAGCACAAGCTGAAAGATAAAAACATGACTAGACCTACAGATATCAAAGGATGATACTCGGGTGCTGAAAATTTACCGTGTATCTTGTTCGTTTCAGGGCCTGAGGGTTTTGTACATGATACCTTCTATTTTCTTCATAGACACATATAGAAACATATACTGAACAGAGTGTGTATGGTTTTCAGTATCATAGGCACAAGACTATGGCTATTTTAAAGGAACTTAAGTTTGCATTTCCATCTGCTCACATTGCTCTGTCCATTTGCTAAGCACTCAGCTGTTACATGTAATACACATAATTTGGATGGGATGCTTTCGGGGTATGTCTAGGAACAGTTGCTATTCTTCATCTGCTCTTCAAAGGGCTGGATTGAAGTTCATCCAGTCCAAAAAAAAAAAATTAAAAATCCACCTTTTAAGTATCAAGTATACTAAAAATCTGCGAAAGTCCATAATGATCTTTCCGGTGTGTGTGCATATACCTATCGTTCAACACTCCCATAGACATGCCAGGTTCGCTTAACAATAGCTAAATTTTGGTTATCAGTAGACTGCTGCTGTCAGACTGCCAATTTTTCAGGCTCACACTATAGGAAAGCCCTGTTCCTGATCTCCTCTGCATTCCCATGGACAGCATGCGTTAGGAAGGCTAGGAACAGTGCGCTCTGCCCATGGGTCACGTCCCCTTTCCCTCTCCTCCAGCAGCTGTGTTAGGAGGGACTGCCTGTCAGCCTGGAAGCATAGCACAATTCTCACAGGGACGTCAGCTTTATCGGGTGAGGACGTCAACACAGTTGACAACTAAAGCAAATCATGACCCCACCTGGAGTACCACGTACAGTTCTGGGGTCCCCAGCACAAGAGAGGCATGGTCCTGTTGGAGTGGGCCCAGAGGAGGGCCCTGAAAATGATCACAGGACTGGAACACCTCTCCTGTGTGTGAAGAAAGGCTGAGAGAATTGGTGGTGTTCAGCCTGGAGAAGGGAAGGCTCTGGGGAGACCTTATTGCAGCCTTTCAATATATAAAGGAAGCTTATAAGAGAGATGGAGAAAAACATTCACCAAGGCCTGTAGTGACAGGACAAGGGACAACAGCTTTAAACTGAGAGTAGATTTACATTGAATATAAGGAAAAAAAAAAAAAATGAGGGTGGTGAGGCACTGGAACAGGTTTCCCAGAGAAGCTGTGGATGCCCCATCACTAAAAGTGTTCAAAGTGAGGTTGCACCAGGCTTTGAGCAACTTGATCTAGAGGAAAATGTTCCTGCCTGTGGCAAGGGGTTGGACTAGATGATCTTTAAAGGTCCCTTCTGACCCAAATCATTCTATGATTCTATGATATTCTGGTTGCTGGAAGCAGAGGCAAAACTCTTCATAACTGCGAAAGTCAGCAAGTCACCATGAGACACAGACAGCACCCACAGCTGTATGTGACCAAGTAGCTAATGGTGGAATCTCTACATTATTTCCATGGGTTCCTGAGCTATTCAGTTTCCCTGCATAAACAACTTTTTCCCCACCGAAACTTGCAGCAGTAAAACCCCGGCTTGCTTTGCCCTCCAGGGGTGTGGATATTGCCCAGAAGGCACAGGAGTGCTGGAGCCCAGCCTGGGCACCTCAGGCCACCACACAGCTGCGTTAACGTAGCAGACATGGTGGCTGCTTGTTTAAAGGCATCCACTGGCCTCTTGTTTTCCAAATCAGACGCACATTTGCTTCTCTCTGAATAAAGGCGGAATAAGAGATGCTGACGTCCCTTTCAGATCAGCTGTGCATTTTGAAATGGAATGAAACAGGCTTTTAGTGTCTCCTTTACATGCAGCTCACTATGTGTTTTCCAAGAGCACATTTGAGTTTTTACGCTTTCTGGCAACTGTAAATTTTACTCTTGCTGACAGCAGCAGTAAATGCTTCATGCAGAGCAAAATCAACTCTGTGAAAAGTTGAACTCTCTCTTCTTGCTCCGTAAAATACCTCTTGGTGCTAATGCGAGCAGAAACCTTCTTTGCTCTCGGGGAAAGGTGAGGGGAATAGAGCTGCTAGCTTCTTGTAGACCGCATGCTACTGCTTTTAGTGGCATTTTGCAGGCAATAAAAATGCTATTTTTCTTTGTAACGTGTACTCTTGCTTTACTTTAGAAAAAAAACAACCTAGTGCAACTTGTGAAGTAAAAGCTGCCCACATCAAAACTAACACTTTTGAAAATTCTATTAGATACTCTCCTGTACACACCGAACTCTACAGGCATGCTTAAAGCTAACAAACAATGTCACTGGGACTTGTATGGGTACGCTTATGTGCTGTGCTTCACAAGACCATTAAGCACATGCTAATATTAAGCCCCTGCTCTTCTGCAGGTTTTTGATGGAACAAGGTTAGACTGCTTAGGTCTGTGAAGTACGGATGAAGTCCTTGGGGACTGATGCTGCTTCAGCTGGTAGATTCAGTTACAGAATTCCTTTAGCCTTTGTACAGGAGAAAGACATTATCCTCTTTTGGATATATCTGACTACTGTCATGATTACAAAGAAAGAATGTCCAGACTTCGGTGGAAGTGATGGAATAAAACAGGCAGTAGTCATTGTACCATTAAAATAAGGAAAGAATAATAGAAGGGGCTGAGTGCAGAATACAAATATGATCATGCTTCAAAAATTAGACCTGGTCTTATACTTTACATTATACTTCACCATAAATGCCCAAATACTTACATGTGTACACCTGAAATAAACATTTCAGTTTTAAAGTTTTTATTTTGGGACAAGAAACACTAAACAAAAGGAGGTAAAAATCTTACGTACATATTCGGCACTTCATGGGTCCAACCATAATTAATGGCCTTCATAAACATTTAATGAAAAATGAATTTATGTCACTTAGCCAAATTTATTTGTGTTTCCATTTTCAATCTTTCTAGATTTTTTGGTTTCCATATTGCTGAAAGGCATAAAAATTTCTCAAATTTATTCAAGCGTTAGAAAAGAAATGCACACAGAACATTAAGTAGTTGCTCAAATGTTGCTGAGCAGTAAAATACTATGATAAAGTGGCATCTTGCTGTGTCTCTATTACTTCTTCAGCACTAAAATTAATTTATGATCAGTCATCAATTCATTTACATGTCGTTTTATGCTAAATCCATCCTTGCTGATGAATGCATATCCCTAGATCCATTAAGCTAGAGTAAAGTCTGTGCTTTACAATATGACCCTGCTAATTGTTGCATTACCATTTTTATGAGATACAAAAAGTAGTAGTTTCCTATTTTCTGAGCACATATTTAATCCATGAAACACATTCTTCCTCTTAAATGCAATCTGTCTAACTGCTTATAAAATAGAATCTTTTGCAATAGGTATCCCTAAGCAAATCAATATAAGTATTGAACTCTGCCATGGTAAAATATGGCTTGTGAAAATGATTTTGTGTAATTTTCAAGAATTATTCTATTTGCGCTCAGACACAATGAATGAACAACTTTTACCATACAGACAGTCATCAGTGATTCATTTAATCAAGACCAAAACATGCCAAATAAGGGATTTTCTTCATTGCTGAGCTATACAACCTATGGAGATCTTTACCATTTCAGATCTATATAATTCTATTAAAAAAAACAATTGTTATCCGTTTGCAGTGGTACTGTTTACAAGACTATCTCTCTGCTTATATCAGTTTGTATCAGTTAGGTAGAAAAGGGATTGTTCTAATTTCTGTGCTAGTTAATGGATGTATCTCTCCCCTCAGTCAAAATGCACGACGGCTGAAGATACAACAGCTTTCACTACCAGCTTCACTGCTGGTGCTCAGGGGAGAGAAGATAAGGAGAAGGCAAAGAAAACCCCCAAACCATAATACTTTGATCTGACGAAAGTTAGTGGTGTTCTTAGTGATTTCAGTGAGAAGCAAATTAATTTCTTATACAGTCATTGTATGCAATTAATTAAGTCTATTGAAGTAGAATAATATAACAGACTCTTTGTGACCATTCATCCCGTAACTCTGCACAGTTATTCATTATAAAGGCAAACATTAAACATAAGTAAAAGAAAAAAACGTATTTCAATGTGTCTCTGAAAGCAAAAATAACCCTAAATAATTGTGAATTAAAAGTCAAGTGAGCAGAAGTTTTACAGCTGCTTTTCAGGTTTTTTTGTTCTTTAAATCAGAATCGGTAGCTCAGTATGGCAACAAACCATGCAGGGAATGAAGCAAAACTTTGGCTTTAATTTCATATTCCATCCCACAAACGTCCAAATCTAAGCCTCCCTCCTTGAGTTTTCTTTGCAATATCTGGAAAATGTTAGGAGACAGTTACTGTGCGCTCCTCCTTTCTTTTCACTTTATTATACATGTCAACATCATGTCTCTGCCACCTGCAAAGAGAAAAGCTTAATAGCGCACATTAAATCCTTGTCTGAATCTTCAGTTTAGCTGTAACTAAAACTCAGGGGCCTGGAAGACAACCTGACTTTTAAACAGTTTCAAGGAGCAACACTGTGGTTTCAGAGGTATTTAGCAGTTTGAGCTCGGCTCACACAGCACCAGTGTTTCCCCTCAGAGAATCCCACATTTGGCAGTGGATGAAAACCTCGCGCTCGGCTCGGCCATGAGGAACAAAGTACCGTTTCACTCCGAGAGCGGGTATCCGAGTCATCGCTGAGGCGTGCTACCAGCACAGGGTGAGGAAACTCGCCCTGCTCGCCGCACAGCAACGCTGTCTGGAGGAGTCTGGACCGAGGGATGTCAATTTAGATTTCTCACAAACACTGAATTCACAGGGCACGCTTCAAAATGAACAGAAGTATTGCTTCATCTGGGTCAGCTGTTCTCATTTGCCTCCCTTTTTTTATATAATGTTTAAAGAATTGAAAACGTGGTATGTAAAATCCTAGGAAAATGCTGGTTTAAGTCACCAAAAGCCCTGTGAAATTAAATAGCTTATGTATTCTCAGGGCAAGAAAGAACAATGTCGTTGTTCTACAGTATTCTAAAAAGCAATCAAATTAAAGGATGAGAAAGAGCTTAGGAACAATGAATGCAACTTGTTATATACCCTCCTTAACACCAATAAATACAGCCTGGAAGAGTTAACACAAATAGATAAACAAAAATTAAAATTCTCTTTTGAAACAATTCACTCAAGTATAACAAGCAATTTCCTTCCACTCCTAGAAAAAATAAGCCCTCAGAAAATCAAGGTTTTACCTATATAGTAATTGAGGAAAACAAAAGTGGTTTTGTTATTTGCAGAGTTTGCCATTTTACAGATCATTTAGACTAACACTCTGCCTGTATTTTTGTAAGGCTATAGTTCTGTAACTGTTTTAAGATAATCTAAGTGTTGGCTATAACCTATAGGGGCAGCCTGTCATTTTGCTTCCCTTCCAGCTGCGCATTCCCTTCCTGCAGTGCTGGCAAACACCTTGTCATGCAATGAACCAGATCACGGAACAGATCCGGCTAGTAATTAAACAACAAAAAGCAAAAGAAAAACCTTGATTTTCAGCTGGATGAGGCCACATCAAGATAGTGGTGGAAATGAGCGGGAGTGCACTTAGATCACCTTAAGTACACTCCCAGTCTACGTTACCAGGTTCTGCCCAATTTCATAGAATCCGAATAGTTTGGGTTGGAAGGGACCTTTAAAGGCCCTCTAGTCCAACCCCCCTGCAGTGAGCAGGGACATCTTCAACCAGACCAGGTTGCTCAGAGCCCCGTCCAGCCTGACCTTGAATGTTGCCAGGGATGGGGCATCTACCACCTCTCTGGGCAACCTGTGCCAGGGTTTCACCAACCTCATTGTGAATTTTTTTTTCCTTATATCTAGTCAAAATCTTCCCTCTTCTAGTTTAAAACCATCACCCCTTGTCCTATTGCAACAGGCCCTGCTAAAATGTCTGTCCCCATATTTCTTATAGGACCCCTGGAAGGCTGCAGTAAGGTCTCCCCAGAGCCGCCTTCTCTTCCAGGCTCAACAACCCCAACTCTCTCAGCCTGTCCTCATGGGAGAGGTGCTCCATTTCTTCAAAAAAATACACCATGAAGTTTTTAACATTCCAATAATGAAACATTTAACACTCCAATAATGAAACAAGATTCATAACTATTAGAACAAGCTTGAATGTTATTCATAAAGGGATAAATTATAGTAAGCACAGAAATCTACAAATTAGAGCAGAAATGCATCTATTTCTTACTTCGCACTAGGCAGGATGGTCCAAAATACTAGGTGAAAATGCAAATGTAAAAAGCATTCATTTTCTGATTTACAGATATATCAACGTTGACATATTAATACACACCAAATGGAAAATATAGAGCCACCTGATTTTTTTTTATATTTCTGTATTACCAGTGCAAAACCCTTACTGCATTCCTAATGGAGCCATTAGTGAGATATGCAAAAATATGCAGAATTATAGCCTAAAGAAGATTACACTAGAAATTCAAGCGAAGTGAGTTAACGTACTCATGCACTAATAAGTTAACCTTCTCAATTCGGGGATTTAAAGTTTAACTCTATGGCCTTCAGTTGGATCTGGATTTCAAATCGCAGCAGCAGAGATACAATTCTTAAATCTTAATTAGATTGGTAAGCAGTCTGGCCCTAGGGTGAAGGAGAACCTGGAAAGTGGGATTAAGCTACACACTATTTAATTCAACAAGGGAAAAGGAAGAAAATTATAGGTATTGACGCTCCATCACTGTCATATTCCTGCAGTGTTTTCAGAATAGCAGGGTTTAAGTAAGGGTGCAAAACCCTTGGAATTTCAAAGGTCCAGAACAATGAGATGAAATTCAGCAGTGCTATGGCAGTAAATTGTACTGGGCAAGTCTCCCTTACGTTACAACTAAAAATCAGCATTCTTGCGCAGAGATCAAAGGCTGAAGAAGCACCCGCTAGCTTTTATGAACTATGGACACTATATATATTTGGGTCTCCAATAAAGCTGTACATTATGGATACAGTATAGTATATAGAGGGAACCTAAAGGGAAATATGCCGATGCCTATGAAAAAGTTCATTATGACCATATAAAATCTGTATTTTTCAAAAAATGCCATTCACTGCCTACATTTCATCAACAGCAATTTTATTCATTCAGATTCTGTGCATTAGTTTAGCATGCCTTTCTAGGTCCTCTTTGATGATCCCTATTGTAACTTTCCAAAGCATGCAACGGGCTAGAAGCAGTGAAGGAAGTAGGATCAGAATAATTAAATGTCTTCACCAAAAAGGAACAATTACTACATTCAGCAATACAAAGTAGGTTCAAAATACACATTTTCCTACATAATTGTTGTATTTACTCTACAAATAAATGTTGTTCTGATCTAACTACATTTATTCTGAAGTCTTTTAACTTCCCTGTGTTCATCTGTAAAAGCATTTATCCAGCAAAATATTTAAAAGCGCTTTAAGATAATATTTTTATTCTGTTCCTGATTTATGAAATATATATTCCCAAGCTGAGGTCTTCCCCCTCCCTTTTATGTAGCTGGCTTGCTTCTCCAGTAGAGTGAACTTTTCATGAAAGCTAGGATATAATTGAGTTTTCTTTCAAGTCTTGAAAGCTTTTTAAAATTCATGAATTTTCTTATCATTTTGCAGCAAAGTATTTTCAAATCCTTTTTTAACTTCAGTGTTTAATATTAACACATTTTACATGTTACAGAAATAGAGTTGAATAAATTTTCACTTAGAAAGTGTTTGATTGATGATATATTTTACTGTTAGGAACAAGTTGTTGTCACTGTTAACTGTGTTTGGTTACCTGTCACAGAGCTGTCTAGATTGTCCATACTGGAGCCTGGAGTATGTTCTAGACCTCTTAGCGGCCTACTGATTTCTACAGTTTCTTCTTCAATATCATCCTCATCATCATCATCATCTGGAACATCTGTTTCCAAATCTGAAATAAGGTTTCCAGATACATATCCTAGGGGTGGAACTGGAGCCTGAGGAGGTTGTGTATTGCTTTGGATGTGCCTATACAAACAAACAGGAAAACATCATCAGAATGGATGAGAGTGGGTACCCCATGGTCAACAGAAGATAAGCCTTTCAATAAGTCTGGAAGTAGATTTACAAAAAGTGCTTGTTAGGTCAAACTCAAGAAAAGTCAATTCACCATACCTTCTAATACCAGAGAACCTGTGCACTTTCCAGTCTTAAATATACTTCCCTTCCTGTAAGATGGGGAAGGTCAAGACTGTCCTTTTACAGATGAGGAACAGTGTACACAGTGGCTACATAAATCAGGTAGGAAGTCCATGGAAAAGCACAATTATGAATCCCAACCTAGCATACAAATGTCTCACACAATATTCCACCTTGCAAATCACATGGTGAGCCAAAATTAAATTTCACTCCTTCTTCTTAAACAGTGCCCTTACATAGAACTCACCCTGAAGAGGAAGAAATGACCGGTAGGACAGAAGAAATTTTCAAGTCCAGTAAACCCATTATCAGCAAGGACTTTTTATTTTGCTTTATTCCAAGTAGTTTAATTGATTTAATTGCAGTAGTATTAGGGCAGGCATGTGTGAAATTATTGCATACAGCAATCACAATTAAAGAAAGAAAAACAAATATAAAAAACGACCACAGGATAGCTAAATGGCCAAATGCAAGCAGGGAACTTGAAGTTTCATTTGCGTGGTCTCTGAGAGGCTGGAGGGGAAAAGAACCAACCATCAGCTTTCAATGCAGCATTCTCCACAGCACTACAGGTACACAGTAAGCTGTGCCAGGAGACCCAGGCATGACTGGCCTTGGCATAAGAGCATGTACCGTGTTTGAAATTGCTAAACTTGGCATGTGGGAATCCTTGGGTGGCTGTTCATGAGGTGCCGTGACCTGATTCGCATCGGCAGCGCTCTGGGTTGGATCCAGGATTCTGCTGGTCTCTTGCTTGGACATCAGCATAACAGAAAAAATTACAACTGTCACTTGTTTGGTTTCCTAGCTGTAATATATTTTCCAGGAAAAATTTGTGCTGTATTATTGCCTACACTTGATAAGTGCAGTAATTTTCTTTATTCAAACAGCTTTTTCCTTTTCATAACATAAATCTACCAGATCTGAGAATGTCACAGTAAATGTTCTGTACCACTGGAACCCCTCTCCACCTTGGTATAGGTTTTAAATTATTGCTTATTCTGAAGCTTATTTGCAGAGCAAATGCTTCCCTTCTGATACACAACCCCCTTCTGATACACAACCCCCTTCTGATACACAACCCCCTTCTGATACACAACCCCCTTCTGATTAGCAGTTCTTGAATATTTTTCCGTCTGGACACCAGATTCTTAGCTATGCAACGTTCAAAATACTGCCCTAAAGGACACTGCCATCTAACTGAGGCTCAATAAACACTGTGATTAGCTCCCAATCAACCAAAACACTCAAGTACAAGCTTAATGTTAAGCATGTGATAGAACAATTGAAGTCAATTTCTCATGTACTTGTAGTTAAGCATATACTGAAGTGAGTTGCTGGATCAAGGCCATAATGATTATGTACTTTTCCAGTAATATCTAATGTGCTCTCTCTTAAATTTCTAGTTGTCTGGTCTCTATATTTCTCTTCTATTACTCCTACAGTAACCTATCTGACAGATCTCATCTTGTTGTTTTGTTTCCCCCACCTCTAAACTCGACAGGTTCACTTTGTGAAAAGAAAACTAAGAACGCTTCCTTCCCACTTAAGACAATGGAGGACTTTCCACTGACTTTTAACAGCATTTGCTGAACAGCATGATATGTATCCAGCCAAATATTATCAAAGCATTAAACAATTCCATGTAACAACTACTGTAAAAATAATCTGTGTTTGCAACCCCCAATATTTACCCCAATACCTGCTATAAGGTTCTAATATGAAAATACAGTTTATCATCTCCTCTATATTTTTCTTCAGTGTTTCATGCTCAATTATTGTGACCTTACACAAGAGCAACATTAAAATCTATATATTCCTAAGCAGATTATGAAAGTTCCCAATCAATTTTCATTTCTCCAAAAAGGGAGCAAGACCTTTCCTGTCAGCCGCAAGAGGCTTTGCTACAGAGTCCTATTACGTTATCTGCTCCCAGACTGGCACCCATGGTTTGTAGGGCATAGAAAAGGTAACAGCTGCAAAATGCAGCAACGACTGACTGTACAGGCAGGGTATGCATCTGTGTGCTGGCTCAGAAGTCAGCTACCTTCAATAGGCCAGGTCTAGCTGCTGCCTGGGATTTGGGTCTGTCCCACAGGCAGGCTGGGGTCCGTGCTTGGCAGCGCGGCTCTGCAGAGGGAGTGCAGATTGCAGACAAGCCTCGGGGCTTCGACCGTGTCCAGGGAAAACAGCTGGCTTTGATTTGGCACCGCCTGCCTACCTGCCTGATCTATTTACGGTAGCTCAAGCTGAATAACTTTGTGGCTTCATTTACCAGCGAAGAAAGGCTGCTCCTCCGCTGGCAGCACGCCATTCAGTAACGAGCTCTGCTCCTCTCCTCCGAGATTCGCGGGCTTTGTCTGGGTAGAAAAGTTGTAAAAGGACAACTGCTGCTTAGGGAACATCCAGAAAGCAACTGACCTTCACCGTATCCCCAGCCTGGTGCAGTTGACAAGTTCTTTTCCAGTCCCTGAAGAGATTGCTTCTGTTTGTTTTGCAGGGGAAATGTTACTGTGGTATTTGCTTGCTCTTCCTTTAAATAGGCATAAAGCACTCTAAAACGCTATATCCATTCTGTAAATTCTAACAACTTCCTTCCTGCTATTTCTGGGTTTTTCCCTGCGAATCAGAAATTTTCGTGGTATTTCAAACTACAGGCAGAGATGCAAATGCTTCATTCTCATGTGACACAGGGTAAAAACTGCTACATTGCTATTTCAGGTGACTAGCATTTTTAATTAGGAATTTAGAACCACAATGTTTTGAAAATCCTAAAAAATTTGTATCTTTTCCTAGCTTGAAAAGAGAGTACTCTGAGCTGTATAAAAGTTGTCAGCAGGTGGGTGTTAATTACTTAGTTGAACATATGTAAAACTGCAGAGGAATATTATTTTTACTCGTTTTTCGCCAAGATTTAACATATGACCAAGCATTGCAGTTTATAAAGAACCCACTAAAGTTTAAGGCCTTCACAGTGTAGATACAGTTTTGCTATTTCTTCTTCCATTTTACTGCTTTGAAAACATTACTGAAATGTTGTTGAACACAGTCAATATTTATGTCATCAAGGAATAAATTGTTATTATGCTCTCATTTCCCAGACCGCAGGTGCCCCCTTCAAACATTTACCATGTCTGCTTTGCTATATCAAACTGGTAAGCCCTTGTTAATTCATCAAGGTGGGCTTGAAGCATTGGCTGCATCTCCTCTCGTGGAGAAGGTGTGAGGGTTGCAGTTGACTGTTGCCCAAAGGAGATCGCAGGCGACGAAGCTACTCCTCGGACAGGAGGTGTAGGAACACGGTCATCGTCTTCTTCAAGCTCATCCTCCATGCCCTGATGTAGGTAGGTCTGAACTGGCAAAGGCGGACACCAACCATCACTGTCGTATCTAAAATAAAAACCAAGTAAACTCAGTATACATCAAATCTCATCTCTGACGTGCAGCAGGGGGTACACAGGATTTCTGCTATGGTTTGAACCCTCACACGTAGTGTGAGTTTTAGCATTTATTGAAAATACGTTCATAATTGCTTAATTTCTCCTTACTGAGTCTGTTTAAGTTATCCCACAACTGCTAAGCAACTAGAACAAGATGTGCAACAAAAAAATTGCCAATTCATTATCTCATTTGTTAATGGTGATTAGATAATGTTAAGCCACAATCAACAACAAAAAATGAACTAACTCACTTCCTGAATCATTGACCTAGGAGAATGCATAAAGATTGATCTAGACATGCGTCCTCGTTTCGGCTGGAGTAGAGTTTTTTTTTCCCTAGTAGCTTGGTATAGTGCTGTGTTTTGGATTTAGTATGAGAATAATGGTGATAACACACTGATGTTTTCAGTTGTTGCTAAGTAGTTCTAGTGCTTGTACTAAATCAAGGTTCAGCTCCCCATGCTCTGCAAGCGGTGATGTGCACAAGAAGCTGGGAGGGGACATAGCCAGGACAGCTGACCCGGGCTGGCCAAAGGGATATCCCGTACCATATGATGTCATGCTCAGCATATAAAGCTGGGGGGAGAAGGAAGGAGGGACATTCAGAGTGATGGCATCTGTCTTCCCAAGAAACCATTACGCGTGCTGGAGCCCTGCTTCCCTGGAGGTGGCTGAACCCCTGCCTGCCCGTGGGGAGTGGTGAATGGATTCCTTGTTTTGCTTTGCTTGCGTGTGCGGCTTTTGCTTTACCTGTTAAACTGTCTTAGCCTATGAGTTTTCTCACTTTTTCCCTTCTGATTCTCTCCTCCATCCCACCGCGGGGGGAGCGAGCGAGTGGCTCTGTGTGGTGCTTAGTTGCCAGCTGGGGTTAAACCCAGATAACATGAAAATAGCAGCATTCTTAAAAGGCAGAGCGAGCTTTACGTAGCTGCACTTATGCACTTCCTTACTGCCATCCTCCCCTTTATTTGTCTATAAATTTACTATTTGTTTTTATTTCGTAGCTTAAATAAAAACCTACACTTTCCACATAAATTCTGGTCTTACTACGCTGCATATAGGTATCTGCTGTGATGTGTAATACATTCATGTCACAGCAGCACTGACCCTAAGCATATGCTATGTCACAGCATCAGCTGATAATATATATTAGCACACGTGTTGACAGCTCTGCCAGCACCCCACCTCCTAACCAATCTTTACTGGGACTTACCTAGACAGTGCTGAATTTCTGAACAATTTCAACACACCTGCCCAAAATAAATGAAGAGATTAACAACTACCAATATTCTTCAATACTAAATTCTTCTCTTTTCACATGTAAGACATGTTCTAATAGGTTTTTGTGGTTCAGTTTTTAGTCTTATTCCAAAGGTGTAGGAGGTGATCAAGGCTAGAAACAGAAGCTTTATATTCTACTACCACTTCTTATGTAAGTTTTTCCAGCAAGTGAATCCTTTTCTGTCTCTGTCCTCATCACAGACCTTTCAATTCAGCGTTGTATTACAGTATCATCCCAGGACACTGTCCCTTAGAGACACCAGCATCACCCAAGACACACAGGCCCTAGTGACTGTCATCATTCCCTCCGCATTATCTCCCCAGAGCAATTCCCTAATCTGAACACAACTTCAGTTGTGCATAGCTCTGCTGATGATCACACCACTCCAATCTCTACACTGCCTACCTTTCCCGTCTTCAAAGCATCCAGTCAGTCTGCAGTCTCTTGAGCACCTGCACACGTTCCTTCTTAACTCTCAGCATACTCCAAAATACCTCAGGTTAGACAGCTCTTTTCAAAAGGCAACCAGACAACCAAAAATTCTCACTGCTCCTTCACTGTCAAACCATCTCACACTCTAAAGGCCATTCCTCAAGCATCATCTAAGCCACTTTCTCTTCTTTCCACCTTCAAGGACTGCTGACAAGGTACACCCCTTGTGTCTGCAATGCAGGCAGGCAATGCATTGTGTTATACAATTAATTTCTCAAACCAGTTTACAAATATTCCTTTAAGGCTCCTGATTTGGAAGGAAGGAATTACCGATTCCCCAGAGAAAAATGAATCACTGCCAATTTTCTCAAGTGAGAAGCTAGGTTACAAAATGGGTGGGAACACTGAGACAGAGAAGTTTCAAAACCTGTATTATGAAGAGAACATTTAATTTAAGCAAAACCCAAAGATTTCTAAAATTAACTAAACTACTTTTTCCTTATTCAGAAGTCTGTAGTCTGTATTTAAAAGCACAGATTCAGGATAGCTAAACCAACCTGACTTAATCATCCAAAAGTCTGTGCAAGACATGTCTTGTAATTAAGGCTGGTTATCACTTTAAATCTGTATCTAGCTATAACAGATACACAAACACACATTTGTGTACAGAAGTGCAAATAAATGCTGCATCTTAACACTTGGCATTTAGGAGCTTTTGAGTGAATTATCATTACCATTTTCATAGCACAGAGATTTAAGAAAATGTTACATGATAACATATTCAATTCCTTAGGAGACAATTAAGATATGACTAGCTCTAATTTGTCTTTCCGTGCAATATTCACTCATGACATTGCCACCCAAGGGTGAAGGGACCGTCCTAACTCATGCTGCTAAAAATATACAGTGTAACAGCTCTGTCACTTACTTTTACTCTCTCAACCTCACGCTTTTGTATAATGGTTTCTTCTTTAAAAGGGACAGGGCAGAAAGGACTCCTCAGCGACTTTTCAGTAATGCATAAATGAGCTTTGGATATGTTCGCCTTTTGACCCAACTTCGTTCAAATCCCCAAATGTTCAACTTGATAGTAAAAAGATTTCTTAGTAAAAAGATTCTGCACAAGTACCATATCTTTACCTAGATTTTCTTTGAAATGGAAAGGAGCCTAAGCCTGAAGTTCAGCACTCTGAGATTCAAGATTTCAGGTACAAAACCCTTTCTCTTCATAATGTAAGAATGTCTGAAAAGCCACCGGTTCTAACCTGCATTTTACAAAAAATCTGCAAGAAAAACCTAGCAAACCTAACAGACTACATAGTAACTACACCTTGTATAAATGATACGGTTATTGAAAATTGTGGAACAACAGAGTGAATATCAATCCCATTCATGTTCTTCTGGTTTTCTGAGTAAATACAACTTGGTGAAAATGCATGCAACCTTTTTCAAGTACTTCTTATTTAAATCAAAGCACCGTAACTTTACGAGGGACCTCTGACTGTAATTTAATAATAACAAAGTCCCTAAATAAGTTCTTGTTGACAAACATGACTCTCTATGTTTCTAATAATTTTTATTCTCTTCTCAGCACTTTTATTCTATAGTACGCTTTTGCTATTAAAAATCTTGGTTCATTACATTGATAGATTTTTTTCTTCAAAACAAAAAAATAGATGTGATTGATAGCTAAGGGGCACATGCTATAACAATTCTGTTTCTTTATATAGATTGTTGTAACAAAGAAAGCTTCCCTCTCTACGCCTTGCCAGAAAGGATTTTTTGATGTAAAAGATATTACCTTCTTTACTTCTTCTAAAACCATAAAATGACTATCAAATATATTGCTGTTCAGCAGCTACTATTCCGTTTTAAGGTGGAATCAATGGTAAAAAACAAAAATAACCAATGATAACAACATGAAGACTGCCTTTACTGGGGCCGACTCAAGAGTATGTGTAGTATTGGTGAAAAAATATAAGTAAATGATAATTGATAGGTAATAAGCATTTCCTTACTGTCAAGTTTCTTGGATAAAACCAAGGAAAAGCATCTTCTTTGAAAGGGGCAGGAAAGGGAACATGCTTAATTAGGAGCTACTACAGGAAAAGAGAATCTTCAAAGATTCTGCATTATATACAAGAGAAAAACAAGGAAGACAACAAGGAACAAGAACAGAGTTTGTAGAAGACCACAAAAAAGGGCGAAGTTTCACGGGAAAGAGCTTGCTTGGGAAACAACAGTATAAACAGATTCACTGCATAGGTTAAATAGAAATTTAAAACATCCCAAAAGCTACCACATTATATAAAAGGCTGCTTGGATTAACGTGTTCACCTTTCCTTATGTTTGTTGCAGTTCATGGAAAAATAGAGGTGAATGTAAACCTCAGTTCTTCTGTGGAAAAGTCAGTAGAGAGAACTAAGAGTGTGGGGTTTTTTTCATCCTTACCTACGAATAAGTTAGTCGACTTTTTTTTTCACTTGCTGCTATTGTGGATTTTCTTTTACCATTTATAAACCAATAGGCCACTAGTGTTAATTTCTAGTAAGCCAAATAAGTTGTCAAAATTGTTTCATTTATTTGGGACACTCATGCCAATGAAACTCACACTTGAATTCAAGAGTTATAGGAAGACATGTACAGAAAAATAAGTCTCTGTTTAGATGCCAGCTCCCTTATTTTGTTGCTCTAAACATTCACCTTTCATATAACATTGTGAGAACTTTATAATAAAGTGTTCATTTTTTTCTGAGTGGAAGTCCTTTTTTCAATTGTAATTCACAATATAATTACATCTGCATGTAATTAATTCTAAAATTAAAACACATCGAACTTGTCATACATAGTATACATCAAAGCAAATCAAGAAAAACCGGCCAGTTTAAAAAAATTGCTTGCTTTTTTTTTTTTTACCCAGTATGTCGATATTAAAGGCAACATAAGGAATGCAGTCTATGATTCATTCCACTTTAACATGTTGAAAACCACAGAAGCAAGATCAACCCCTGAATACAGAACAACCATTAGTATTGGATACATGCTCAGGAAGTTTGGGCATTGCAGATTCATTGGGTTCAGCAAAGTTGGTTGCAAATTACTGTAGCTCAAGACTGATACTGTAAGTCTAATCTTCAATTTTTTGGTGTGTTTTTGTGTTTGGTAAAATGCACATTAGAAGGTCTTGTAACAACAACTATTAATGAGACATTACAAAAAGCACAGAAGGGTAATTCAAAAGATAACCAGAGGAAAAACTAAGTCTGAATTGTTGGGAACCTGGAAGGCTGGTGATTACCTTATCCTTAAATAACCAGTGTTGTCTTGGTGACCAACATCGTTCCTTCCAGCTCAATAACAGATACTTTATGCAACTGAGGAGTCAAGCCCTGTGTCACAAGGGATTTCTTTAGAAGATATTTTCATTTATATTTTATGCCATTTCATTGTCCTGAAAGAAAATCCAAGTTGTTTGCCTTCTATGGCATAATTATTTTAGCGAAATGGCTGCACATGTATTTTTAAGGATATAAACTGATAAAGACAAATATATGGTGAAAGCATCTTCAATTTATTTTAGCTTTTTATAAGAGAATACAGAACATAATTATTATATGCACTTTTTGCCTTGACTTTTAAACAACACTTACAATCAGCAAGGTTATTCGTTTTCCCTTACAATTGCTTTGAAATTCTAACTCTAATATAGCCTGAATGGACCTTCATTTTAAAAGGAACTTCACTGATTTATACAGTTAGTTATTATTCATTTTAAGAGTTCAAGGACTTGGTATAAACTCAAATATTAGTATTTAATTCTTTGAATTGTCATTATAAAAGTAGTGATGATCAATTCATGCTTACAAAAAAAGTAATGCTTGAAATATTTTTAGTCAGTAAAGCTATTACAGTGATTTTTAAAACATCTGTTTCATCCTTAGGAAATATTGATTAATCCATGTTTTTAAACAGGCAGAAATTTGCCCCTGACAGAACAGTGATTCTCAAAGGCTCCAATGGAGCTGACCACAGAAAACTATTTTTCTGTATATTCTGATTTTCCACCAGAGCTTGATAAACTGGTATTTCATATAGTTTCATTTTTTTTAAAAGCATTCCATAATTGTTCTTTGTGCAGGAAATGTCTCTTTCCTCTCATTTAGTGCTTTTTGTGTGATTTTGTGTCCTCAAAAACAAGTTTAAGTTATCCAAAAATAAGTGTCAGGTTCCAGAAACTCAAGAGTTGTTTAAATAATAAAAGAAGGCCTATAAATAGCATGCCTTCCTCAACTGTGAAATTTCTTCTAAAAGCCGATGAGAAGATTATTATCCACTGGTTGATCTTCTAAAACGAATCCAGTTTAGTGTGAGGGTTTTTGTTCTGTTGGCTCTAATATTTTTAAACATCAAAGCAGTAAAAAATATAAGGAGCCAGATCATGTCACCCTTACTCACTCTGAGTCTCATCATTTGCAAGCAGTCCCAACAGAATTCAATTAAGCTACCTGTGAAGTGAGATACCTCTCATCATGAGTAAGCAGAGAAGCCCTACATGACGATGAAGCAAGGTCACTTTTATTTCCATCTTCAGTCACTATCAAGAGGAGCTATTCAAACATTCCTCCTCCATAGCCTTGAATAAGTCTATAGGATAAGACGCTCTCTCTTTTTTTTTTGAAACAAAACAGAATAATATTGTCACTTAGCGAAACTAAAAAAAAAAAAAAAAAAAAAAAAAAGCCTCATCTCTTCAAACCACAGATTTTTCTTCAAAACAAAAAGAAAAAAAATTACCCTGCTTCTTGCTGATCCACCCCATAGTGTTCCAGCTCTGTGCCTGGAAGCGGCTGCACGGGAGGCGGGGGGAGGGGAACACTGGCCCAGTTTGAACCATTATTTTTCTGGGGCTTGGCAGTATTTTTATTTTTCTTCTTTTTCCCTCCTTTGCCACCTGCAAATCCAAAAAGAAAAATAAAATGTTAGCGATATAATGTAGGGGAAAAAGCTAGCTATTTACATTTCTTTGAAAGAATTCTGATTCCAGATGGCATTCCCCAAAAAAGAAGATGCATTTATATCTCAGCAGAATCAGCATCAACGTGCTAATGCTGTTACAAGATTATAAATAATAATAGAATAAAATGGAAAAATATTCTGAATAATTGTCGAAAATCACTTCTTTTTAAAAACCCATACATTTGCACCACAGTAGTACACAACCAAGGAAAGACATGTTTTGCTATATCAGAAACACATTTACTGATTTAGTCATGTCTGCTTTATGACTTCTTGAATTCACTGTTAGATAAAAATATAATAGACCATAGCAAATGATTTCAAATGGCAGAACCCAATGTGCTTATAACACTGTTTTGCATAACCTCGCTCCGTGGAAAACACAGAGGTTAAGGACACAATCTAAACAAACTGTCATTAGACTCAGCATCTTTCAGCCGGAATGACTAGTGTTAAGTTGTCAAAACAAAAGGAAACGGGGTTTTGTTGATAGGAATTTACTAAGTTCCATTTTTTTAAAACATCAGGTGGTCATCTGCAATGTTTTAGGACTGTCTGTTTCACAGGATTCAAATATCTTGTGCCACCACAGAGAAGAGATTCTATTACTAATGTACAGCTCTAATGGAGAGATGAGGCGAGCAATGCATTTTGCTTAAGCCCTCTTCTCTTCTCTTGTCATTTTTGTACCCACTTCTCTGGTGGAGACACTTCCATTTACGGGAAAGTGATCTTACAGAAAAAGCTCTCCTCCCCCTTGTTTCCCTTCTTTTATTTTGCCCTGATTCCTTTTTCTTGTCAGGAATTGATTCAGAGGAAGAATGGCACAAGATTTCAAATCCTTTGACTGCTCACAGACCCATCTCTTTTATTGCCATTTTGTTGCGGCTTTCAAACTCTCTGGATTGTTGGGTGGAAGAATGGTTTTTCATATGCTTTTTCAGTGGGGTACCCAGATGGCAGTCACTCATCCCTTGCCTGTTGCAGAAAGCACAGTCTAATCCATCTTACTCACTGACGTCTCTTGCTGATTTATAAGGATCAGCCAAAACAAACTCCATGTAAAAAGTTCTCATCAGTAACAAACCAAAAAAATCACAACTGACTTGTAAGGCAGGGTGGGACGGTGTGCCCTGGCAGGTACCACCCTCTTCGCCATGGCTCTAGCTTTAGGTATAGAGACCTCCAGAAGGATGTGCAATGCTAGTGACAGAGACAAGCACATGTCACAGGACTTTTAATCTGAGAGACAGTGGCTTTATTCTGTTATCTCCAAACATCATCTGGACCAAAATAGGAACGCATAGGGAAGGAAGAAACAAGATGATTCTGTGATTCAGAAGTAGCCAAGACTTCTCTCTTCATCTCCTGCTGTGGCTGCTAGAGACAGGCAACAAACTAGCAAGGTTTCTAATCAGCCTGGCTGGTAGCATGTTGCAAACAAGACTTTGGTTTCCACTACTCAATTCCAGATCCGAGCTCTTCCTTCCTTGTCTTGGAGTATTTATAGTAAGTCCAGCCAAGATCCCGTCATTCACTGTGTGCAAACTGAGCTGATATTCCATCTATTAGGATGCAAGTCAGGTTCTTTTCCTCCTTTTGTAGCCTGGCAGAGAGGGAAGCTTTCTTGAAAAGGGAAAGAACATTTTGATCACCAGAAAAGAACCCCCAGTGATGCTGGCAATGGGGGAACAAATATATGAACCTTCTGGGGGGAAAATGAAGCTTTCAAAGCACAGGTACGGTGGAAAGGGGAGTTAAAAATAAGGTCACAGAACAGTACAAAAAAAGTAGGTTAATTTTAATTTGTGGGACATGGGGTAATTTTGAAAAGTCAGCAGGAGTAGGAGTCAACAAGGGCCAAGGCAGGAGGCGCTGCTTTGGGAGGAAAGCACATGCATAAGGGGGGGTGTGTTGCAGGGGATTTAAACTAGGAATACCTAGCGAAGAGAAATGCAGAGAAGAACTTCAGTTTAGAGATTAGCTGAGGTGGAGAGGAAGATTTTGGAAGTGTAGCATCTTAGCAGCATCTTAGTAATCTTAGGAGACCGGTAAAATGGAAGTTGGATGTCTGGGATGCTAGAATGAAAGCACTTAGATTTGGGAGGGGTTGGAGAGAAAGGTCAAAGATAACAGCTGTTAGAGTGAAGCAGAGAACTGAGGAACTGTTCAGATGAAGAAATAAAAGAAAGGAACTCC